GCACTGAATTAACTCTCTTCTGCACTGAATTAACTGAAAACTGCATTTATCTTAACCAATCAGAACTGAGAAATTTTTTCATGTATATTATTAGTAAACAAAATATCGGGGCAAGTCACAAGGCTAAATTTCGAGATACTAGCTTACCAACTTGAGAGCCTTTTTCCTGTTATCACCATATTTAGCCCATGCTATTTAGATATAAAAACTAGAGCCTCAAAAGACATGTGTGACAATGGAAGGTCCATGTTTAATGTAGACAGTCAAGTGGCAAGAGCTGCAGGGGAGGAGAAAGGCTCAATAATTTTCCTTTGTCACTGAAACAAAACTGACAATCAAATTCCCCTTTGTGATACCCCAATTAACCCATACATCTACTCTACCCCACCTCCCGCAATGATACTATCAAGCGGTGGATAACGTAGACATCAAAACATAGACTTATAATTGGCCAGGAACAAAGTGGTGCATTAATCACCACAAAACTGGAGAAGTGTCCTTAAAGACAGAGTTCCAAAACAATATAAAGAACCAGAAAAAAGAGAGGTACATATGTGGTATTGTAACTCTTACCTTCGGGAAAGTAAAAGTAAGATTGCATGTTGTCTGTTACCTATTACCTAAGCTACACATGTATTATCACTTATTAGTATAACTTCAGAGCTGAGCAAAGAGTTTCCAGCAATCTGAATGGTCGAGCAGTTCCTTATGTGAAGCTATTTAAACTGCTCCATGCAATTTATATAAAATGTTAAAATAAAATGTTAATAAATGTTACTAAAATGTTATGATTTTAGAAATTTCTCTGTTGTTCAGCTCTGAAATTATACTAAAACAATTATTTGCCTCAAGTTCCGTGAATATTGTCGAATAATCCCCTCGACTTCGTCTCAGGCATTATTCAATGACATTCACCTCGCCTTCTGCTAATAATTGTTAATTACAAATATTACAGCATGAATCTCCTCAGTCCAAAGATACAACCTGAGACAAGGCTTTCTCCAAAGACCAAACTTTTTAAGGTAAAAGTGCTTTGTTTGTTTCTTTTATCATTACTGTTATCAGTATTATTGTTATTATTACTATTATTATTATTATTCTGAGTGTTATAACAGAGAAACCATAGTCACTGTATAATTTTTCCTCATCAAGGTAAATTGCGTATCTTTTTTTTCTGTTTTTGAAAGGGGAGGTGGCATTTGAAATCATACTTGCAGACCCACTCCAGATTCTCTTCCTTTTGATTTTTGGTCTTATATCTTCGTTATTCCCTGCAATAATTGCAATTTGGAAACTGATCATGCTGTCATCTTGATTCTCATTTTAAAAATCCTACCTTTTGTCTAGATGTGCAATTTTTCTACATCCCAGTAATATAATGAGACTCTGTGATTCAATAAAGGAGGCAAAAGGTAATCTGGCTGAGGATTTTGTACTTCTTGTGAGGCTTTCTGCCATCTTGGGAAGTTTTGAGAGCAACATGAAAATGCTTTTTCATAGAATGGACTGTGCATTTGGGTTATGGAGTATCACAGAGACTCACTATGGCAACATCATGATAGACTGACAGAGGTAATGTGAGGGTGGAATATAGCATGAGGGGCCAGACATGATGTTTGCTACACTAACAGAGCTGGATCATTTTCAGGGTAACTGTTGCTAATGGAAGGTCAATACATAGAACACTTCTGTTTGTTTAGCACGCCGTTGACAAACGCTTAATTTTAGATACTTGTGGCTAAGACAGCACACGCGCGTCTGTTTTCCTTTGTCATCGACTATAATCCTTTAACCACATTAGCGCTGGGCGAATGAGACGAGAGCGAGCCCTTTAGCTACGTGATCGGGGGAAATATATCGGAAATCAAAAAGTAGAGCATTCTGTTATTGAAGCAGTGTGATCGTGCCTCTACAATAGAAAATAGCCTGTCTTAAACAGGATTGCTCCTTACAGAATTGTAAGTATATCTAAAATATATAGAGGATGTTTTTAATCGAGTATCTGTTCCTAAAGAATTGTGATTTTTGAAAGAATAGTGCTTAGTCTACTCACGTGTATTCATTTGCCTTTGGTTGACTAGCTAGCTTGTTTGGAATTACGCATTAAAACTAGTTCAAAACAACTGGTAGATCCCGTGGACGCTATTTTTCTTGGTGTATCTTCTACTACAGTACTACGCTAACCCGCCGTGCGAAACACTGTTAATTTTTTTTTTTTAAACAAGCATAGGCTTCTTTTATATCAAAGGGAATAAGTGCCTTCTGAATTCTCCTTAATAGCATAATTGACATCTCCCATATTTTCCTCTCCAGAAAAATCATTTGAAAAACTAATATATTACAGCCCTCTGTGAGTATCATGAAGAAGAACAAGGTCCCCCCCTTGTACAGCTCCACACTGATGAGAAACCTCATTGCCCAGTATGCTGCTCGTGAATTTTGTCATCAAATTAAAGATGGGACTTCCAAGGAAAGGATGCAATTGCAAGAGCAAAGAACAGTAGCACTACTCCACATCATGGCCTATTTTTCAGTAAAAGTTTCCCTTTGTGGACCTTTTCAGCTTGTAGATTTTGTTGTCCCATTTTGGACCACATGATGTTACCCTGGCCAGTCACTGCTTTCAAATTCTCAATCATGTATTTGCATTTGTTTGGATAGGGTTAAAAAGGAAAAATATGTTTTAGGAAATATTTATTTAGTAGTTAAAAAAAATTTATCCTTCAGTTGTTTAGAATATTAGTCTATAAAAGTTGTCAGAGTCTCAGACTCAAAAGAATTTTTTTATATGAACAGGTCTAAAAAAAACCTCTACATTTCACAAAGACATGTGTAAAAGACAAAACTGTGTGAACCCTTGCCAAACTGATACGATGGCAATAATATGGGAGAAATGAGTGCCATATATGGACCATATATGGAAAGTAACTGGGTGTATTAAAACAAAATATGGGTTTTATAACAGACCTGAATTAATTGCTAACTTAAGTATGGTTTTAAAGTGGAACATACATTTTAAAATATCAATAATGTGGGAATATGTGAACTGATTTCTCCATATGATAACCACATTATCCCTCATTCAACATTTCTTTTACTGACTCTCCATATAATAACCACATCATCTCTTAGTTTGAGACATAACTGCAAAATATGGCAGTGATAAAGATAACCATAGTAATGCCATATATGGAATTTACATGGCACATAAGAACAGAAATGTTAATTACATCATTCTTTTTTTGCAACATCACTGGCCCTTGTCCATGTTGGGGCCAAGATATGATTTTGCCAGATTTTCAGTTTTGCACCCTTGTTTGCACTGAATAGTTATAATGATGGCAAATAAATGCAATTGATCGAGTGTCAATGAATAAAAACTATAGAGTTGGACACCCCCCCCAATTTGGACTTGGTTATTCCAAGGTGATCCCTGGATTTGCTTTATGGTCATTTATTATCAGTCATTTTGAGCTATTCTCACTTCCCCTGAGGGTTGAAAACAGCGGGTTTCAACTGTACCTAGAAGATGACACCCAAACTAAATCAAACAACTGGAAGTCAAGGAAAGGAGTAGGTCCATAAAGAGAGATATACCACAGAGATATCCTATATAAATACCAAAAGATCTAGAATACAGCTAAGTAAGCTGGAAAATATTCAGTTGACTTATGCATGGACTACACATACTGCTTTGTCCACCAAGATTTTAACCTCATCATTCAACATGTGCATATCAATGTATACTTTGTGATGCAATACATGTACATTACCCTGCATTTTGCATCCTTAACGCTGCATGCTATTCATTCTTGTGACAATTGTTATGGATAAGCATGCGATATTCATATTGTGAGATTACTTTGTAACTTCTGAAAAGATGTGAGTGGTTATTGCATGAAAGTGCCAGTCAGAATAATTATCATTTATTATGAGGAAGCAATCAACCAAAGAATGTCTAGAAATTGCACACCAACAGTATCAACTGTTTTATCCAGAAAATCACTAAAACCATTAATCTTTTTCAGTGTGATTTGGAAAGTGAGCAATGTAAACAACAGCAGGTGATCCAGTGTCTCTTAACTCCATACAAACACAAATGTCTTCAATGTTGTTGATGAGGACTGAAACACACTGGTCATTTAAAGGTGGATAGCAACAAGCAATGTGGGTAACAGGACAGACACCCAAAACTTCATGTGTTGGACACAAAAAGCCAGTCTGTTGTAGAAACGGACGATTAAGACATAGCGTACGTCTGCCTACTACACATCTTAGAGGAGGCATTAGTCTTTTTCCAGTATGGTGTCGTATTCAGATCTAGAAAGATTGAGAATTATGAGTCCCCTATATTTCGATTTCTTATACTATTCATCATTTGGAACCGCCAGATGACAGATCTACATTTTCAATGTTAAATGATCTGTCACCAAAGAAACTAGTAACTTCCCTGACTACTACAACTTTAGAACGAAATGGCTGGCACTACTAACTAAAAAAAAAGGTCGAAATTTGCCACTCACCACTTTGGTTTCACATCACAGACTGCTTAAAGGCAGAACAGATCGGATAAATAGATTACTACAAGGCAGAACAGATCGGAGAAACAGCTACTGGCATTCCTTCTTCATCTGTTTACAGAATCTTGCGCATGCGCAGTATTTGACTCTTGTGTTGTTCGGGTAAATCTAACCACCCATGAATATTACCTTAGTGTCTTTGTGGCGTCGGTGTCGCGTCGGTGAAGGAGTAGGCGAAGAAGAAGGTGTCTTAGTTAGTGAAGGATCAAATTTGCAGCCGAGGAGCGAAGGTAATGTTTCTGAGGGCTTTGACGTCTTCCAGAGTGTCATTAAGGCGCATGCTAAATCGAAACAAAGCGCAATATTGCGTTCATGGCTCTCGAAGAATATTATTGTACTGTTCTATTCAACTATTGGCGACATGTCAGAATTATCACCGTAATAACTCCGTAACATCCTTTTGGTCCAAATTTTGATTTGATTTGTATGAAAATTTTTAACGGCCTAACAGGCCTTTGCCAACTTACGGATTGTTGTTAACCTCAAAGAACCACTCAAGGAAAGTTATCTTGTCTCCTATTTCAGTAATTCTTGTTTCCTGATCATGATCAACTCATCTGCATTTACCTTTTGACTGTTCTCTGCAGCTGGTAGGTGCAAATAAATGGCGAGGTTGAATTTTGTGCTAAAGTGCGACGAATTCAAATAACTAATCGACGAAGGGCGAACGCTCGAAACTCAGCTGTTGTAATCGTTACGGTGGCCAATTTACCATTTCAACTTTGTTGATATATCCAAATTATTTCGTTACTCCCACCGACACAGCCCCAAACAGTTTCTTTCGAAACTATCAGCCTTTAAACAACCAAACAGTCGGAAATACTTGAATCCATGTGTAGCGCAGTGTTGTAAATTTCTACTCACCAGATTCTTTTTCTAATCGTCGGTCGCGTATGCACTTTGTTAAGACGGAAACGAGTCAGTTCGATCGAAGGTCGTTTCGATCGAAACCAAAGGTCCGTTCGATCGAAGACAAGAGTCAGTTTGATCGAAGAGTAAATGATAGTAGTATATGTAGTAGCGATTCAAGGAAAAGAAGTGATGTCTTGCGAGCTTCTTGCGAGCTAATAAAGAAAAAAATTTGAAGAACCATGATGCGAACATTTTCCATCATTTTTCCAAATGCGCGTGGAACATAAAGAAATGGTCGCGTCTGTTTTCTGTTAAAGCAAATTAAAAGCCGACTCTAAGGAACAAAGCGTGATAACTGTATCAGGAAATATTTTTAAACAGATTTGATAAATAGTAAGTTCAATACACTTAAGTAATAGTTACAGTCTTCGATCGAACTGACTCTTGCCTTCGATCGAATCGACTTTATCGATCGAAACGACCTTCGATCGAAACAACCTTCGATCGAAATGAAGCATTCGTTACGACTTCGCTATCCTAATTTATTTTTGCCTGAATTATTTTTTGGCGAAACTTTAAGTTTCCTCGAAGCCTTTTTTGGAAGAAATATTTCCCTTGTTATGGCGCAAACAGCCACATCCAGCTTTTGGAAACAAGCGTTGTTCGTTTGAATAGGATATCGGCCGCCATATTGTTGTTTAGAACTCGCACCACGTAAATTGGGGGAAGGATCTGCGTGGTATACATTTATTTGGATCCATTTTCCCCTGGCACAAAAAACCCTCCAAGCTGCCCGAGAGACGAATATTGATGTTCTTTAAACCAAATTTTTCCTGCCCAGAATTAGGTTTAGGTCTTGAAAAAAAGAAAATGTAATTACTCTGGCTTTCCGAAGGAAACGCCCGAGGTATAAATTCGGCTTTGCTTTTTTTGTTTTTGCGTAAGTTCACAAAACGCAGTTCCATTACAGCGCATGCGTGAAGTGTAAGCGCATGCGTAGAATAAACTCTAGAGCGCGTGGCAAAGCAATGGCTGCCTTCGTGGACTGATTAACTATGGACTGATGTACGCGAAAGAAATTCGATGGCTATTACGCTCAGTATACATAGAAAGTCACACATCATTATCAGTAGACCCACGCTAAAAATTGTGGAGCGTTTTGGGAACGGGTCGGTCCGCGAACTTTACGAGAGATCAATTTACGAGTGAACCTTCTATCGAGAAATATCAAGCGAAACCTGCTATATCAAACGAGCTATCTGATATTGTGTTTGCATGTAAACACAACCGTGTATTTAGACGTGATCGAGAACCCAGTAGAATACAAGAAGCTGCTCTGAAACGTCTCAGAAGAAAGGGCAGAAAACTGAAGGAATTTGTTTATGAGCGTATTCGTCCAAGCATACCGAATTCCTCTTGGTTACGTCGTTATGTGAAGGTTAGAAGAGTTACAAAGAATGTTTGTAAGCTTAATACGAAGAGGATATATGA